AGGTCCATGTCCAGGAAACTCCTCATACCTTAATCCCACTGAGAACTTGGGTTCAATCCTCAAGAGGTGGGTGAACAAAAAAACCCGTACAAATTCTGACAAAGTCCAAGAATTGATTATGCAAGAATGGGTTGCCATCAGTCAGGATGTGGCCCAGAAGTTGATTGACAGTATGCAAGGGCGAATTGCAGAAGTCTTGAAAAAGAAGGGTCAATTATTGACTCTTTGCATAAACAATATAATTGTCAATAAAAGCCTTTGACACTTATGAAATGCTTGTAACAGGGGCGGACTGACAACTCATGGGGCCCCTGGGCAATAGGGGATCATGGGCCCCCTGTGTCCTTGCCCAAACTCAAAAAAGCCTATAAAAAGGTACCAGGGGCATCTCACGGGGCCCCTTACTGACCCCGGGCCCTCAGGCAGTGTCCGAGTTTCCAAATGGTCAGTCCGCCCCTGGCTTGTAATTATACTTCAGTATACCATAGTCAGACCAAAAGGTCTAAAAACACTGAAGCAGCAGACTATATGAAAATTAATATTTGTGTAATTCTCAAAACTTTTGTCCAGGGCTGTAGTTGTGATGATATGTACGGTTTTACTAACACATGCCAAAGTTGCAAAATTGTGCTTAGGCATTTAGATTTGTTTTACCCTTAGGCACGAGGGTTAAATGAACAAGTTGAAGTTAGAAGATGATTGGCTACCATGCACAGCTGCACCAGATTTTGCACTCTCCAGGTTTAATAAATCAATCCCTTTGAGTTAACTCAGTTTGATTGCACCCCCACACATAACAAAGAACACCCCCTAGACCTTGCCATTGCAAAATACTCTTTTGTCTCTCGTTTTTCTTCCCTTTCCATAGGACTCTGACCAACTAGATATTTTTTCAGTTTGGACTTTCTGGTTTCTAACACCTCCCTGTCTCGTTATGTAAATTACCGCAATTGGACTTTTATGTTGATCAGCCCAAATTTGCAAATTATGTTAAATGTATGTACTGCATCACCTTAATTGTGCACTTTTAACTTTTCTTCACATTTGCTTCTCTAAAAAGTCAAACTGTTACCCTTTCTCTTTTGGATTCCCCCGCCTTAGAAACTTGAGTGTAGATGGCATTATTTTGTCCTGACTGTGCATAATCAGGCTTGGAAAGATTATTTGTGTGAATATAAAAGTAAATTGAGTCTGGTAGATCTAGCTATTTCTCTTGCACCACTAGAAAAAGTCTTAGAAACCCCAGTTTTTCTGCAGCATCAACAGACTGTTAAAACCTTATTGTCCCTCCACATTACCAGCCTCAGCACAGCTCTGCATGAAATTAATGTATATAAGGGACTTTAAGGTACCCACAAAACAACATTAAATTTACTAAAATATAAAAGTTTTATTCATATACTTATCTTAAAACATAACATACAAGTTTAAAACATGCATTAGAACAGTAGTGCAATAAACCGTCGTACATATGGAGACCCCATCCATCACCTATTAGCTTTCTCAATCATATAGAATCCTTGTACTGCAAGTGACTTATTCCTTCATACATTTTACTGTTAATGCATGGTGAAGGCATGGGGATTACTCAACACTTTTCTTGGAAATATTCCACTTCATTAGGAGATTAGTACTGGCTGATGCTACAACAAATACAAAAACATACATAGGAGGTCTGCAGTTCACACATAATATAGTAGGTCTTTACATCTGAGATTTTACATCCACAAAAAGATTACATCTTATTTATCGTAAGACAATACCATGGTAACTTTCCTATAAAAAGTCACCTGGGGCGAGTGCAGGGATGCAAAAACAGAAGGAAGCAACCCCACAAGGAAGAACAACCACCAAATCAGTTTTGACCAGAGGATCAACCAATGACTGACTCATGAAACCTGATATCTGTATTCAAGGAACAGCTACAGTTTATTAATAAAGCTATCTTTAGTTAAAGAAGCAAATACATGGTACCACAGCACAGTTATCACTAAATACACAGCCAGCAATCAATGGTTTTGTACCTTTATCTTCCACAGATAATTAATTTGGCAGAGTGTGCAGGAGCTAAGCAATCACATAGTACCCCAAGGTTCTGTCCTTGGGCCCCTCCTTTTCTCTCTCTATACCTCCTCCCTGGGTCAACTGATAACCTCCCATGGCTTCCAATACCACCTCTATGCTGATGACACCCAGATCTATCTCTCCACTCCCCAGCTCACCCCCTCAATCTCCTCAGGTATCACAAATCTACTAAGCGACATATCAGCATGGATGTCACATCACTACCTTAAACTCAATCTTTCAAAAACCGAGCTTGTAATATTTCCTCCTCCCCGATCCCTCCACTCACGACTTTACCATTAAGATCAGCAGCACAACCATTGGTCCTTCCCCTCATGCCAGGGTGCTAGGCGTAATTCTAGACTCTGACCTCTCCTTTGGGCCCCAAATCCACTCACTGGCTAAAGTCTGCCGCCTCAACCTCCGGAACATTTCCAAAATCCGCCCCTTCCTGACCAATGACACCACAAAACAACTTATCCACGCCTTGGTTATATCCCGCCTCAATTACTGCAACTCCCTCCCCACTGGTCTACCTTTACACAGGCTATCCCCTCTTCACTCTACTATGAATGCTGCTGCTAGACTCATACACCTTACCAGCAGATCAGCGACTGCTGTCCCTCTCTTCCAATCCCTTCACTGGCTTCCACTAACCCAACGTATAAAATTAAAAATACTAACCACAGCTTACAAAGCCATCCACAACACTGCCCCTAGCTACATCACCAACCACAGATATTGCCCAAATCGCCCACTCTGCTCCTCCCATGATATCCTCCTCTCTAGCTCCCTCATCACCTCCTCCCACACTCACCTCCAGGACTTCTCCAGAGCCTCTCCCATCCTCTGGAACTCCCTACCACAGCATGTCCGGTCAGCCCCCACCCTGTCTGCCTTTAGGCAATCTTTGAAAACTCACTTCTTCAGGAAAGCCTACCCCATCTCCACCTAAGAACTGTACTTGAATCACCTCCGCCAGATCATCCCCCGCAGTTATCACCTTTTGTATCAACCCCCCCTTCCTTTAGATTGTAAGCTCCACGAGCAGGGCCCTCATATTCCTTCTGTACTGAAATGTATTGTAATTGTACTGTCTCCCTTATATTGTAAAGCGCTGCGCAAACTGTTGGCGCTATATAAATCCTGTATAATAATAGCCTATGTGGAGCAGAGCTGTAGTATTGAAAACAAGAGAAGTGTGTCCCTGGAAGTCTGTAAAGCTCACCATACACTATATATTCTGATTGTACAATCTCCTTTAGATCTGCTATCAGCTTTGTAGAGCAAGGGCCTGCCAGATTAGACACAGAGTGGTTGGATAGATAGGTGTGTCCTCTTATTGTATAATGTTAGTACATTTAAATGAGATTGTACAACCTTTATACACCTAAATTAAACTAGTCACATTTTCAGGTGCCATTAACTGTTAATGGCACTCCAAATACAGAAGCAAGCACACATTTTGCTACATGGAAAAACAAGCGACAAATGCAGCAATCACACAGTACAAAAAGTGTAAACCGTATCAAGCCAAAATGTCCCATGAGCTATTTTGCCATGTGTAGGGCAGCCCACTGAAATCAAAGGGCTGCCCTATGCATGCTGCAGGCAAAATGAGCCATAAAATGTGCACTCCCACTATGCTAGGTGTGAATGGTGCCTGAATGTAAAAATGCTGTATTTACACAAGAATAATGAGGCTCCATTCACGTTTGTGCGTTTCTGCACACATGCCAAATTGCACAGAAAATGCATGCACACTTTGGAAATGAGCTGGAAATGCTCCTCACACTTGCATTGACATTGCATTAAATGATAATGACACCCCAAGTGTGGGCAGCAGGCGTGTATTTGCTCGGTGACAAATGCGCTGCAAGTGCACCAATCAAGGTGAAAAAAACACACCATGCTTCACTCTAAAAAAAGTTCTGGAGCTTCTTTGAGGTGTTTGTTGCATGTAGGGCAACCCACTCAAGTGAATGGTCTGCTCTACGTATCATGAGTGGAAACACTACAAAACACCCGCAAAAAGTCCTTGCTACATGGATGGTTGTGAACGGGACCTGACAGCTGAATGTCTCCGTCCACTCCCTCCTATGTACTTGTATAAAGATGGCCATACACTATGCAATCTGATTTTACCATCTCTGTACAATTTCCTTTTAATTTACCAAAACTATGGAACAAGAGGACCCACCTGAACAATCCATTCAATTTGTATCAAATAAGGCAGGCCCTTCCTCTACATAAATTATGGTAGATCTAAAGGAGATTGTACAATCAGATTGTACAGAAAAACGATGGAAATAAAACAAAAGGTGGTATAGTAATGAGGGTGGTATGGTCAGACCAGGGGCGGACTGACCATTTGGAAACTCGGGCACTGCCCGAGGGCCCAGGGTCAGTAGGGGGCCCCATGAGATGCCCCTGGTACCTTTCATAGGCTTTTTTGGGTATGGTTTGAGTGTGGATGAGGACACAGGGGCCCCATGATCCCCTATTGCCCGGGGGCCCCATGAGTTGTCAGTCCGCCCCTGGTCCAGACTGGTAATGCACATCCTATTCTGTGATGCACAATGGCAGTGCATGATGGGATATGATCTACAAGAAGTGATGGAATCAGAAAACATATTTTTAAATTTTAAATAGGAAGGTGAAATTTGAAAGCTGCCATGGATGGGTTAAGTGAGAGATAAGCACATTTGGATGACTGGGGCAATAAGGACATTAGAAAATGCTTCTATTCGCTGTATAATGAAAAGTAAAATTTTGTCTTAAAAAGGTGAACTTAGCCTTTAACCACCTTTTGCCCACCATATAGTCCAATGACGGGCGCAAGGTGGTTCTCTCGTTCTGATAGGACGTCATATGACATCCTTCCATTCTCACTGCGCATGCGCGGTTCAGGGGGCACGCAGCGCAGCGATCAGTGGTGCACTATGTCCCTCGGACACAGCAGATCACCGATCCACGAAAAAGAGCCGAAGATGTCGGCTCGGTCATGTGATCAGCTGTGTCCAATCACAGCTGATCACATGTAAACAGGGAAATGCCAGTTATTGGCATTTCTCTCCTCTCGAGCTGTCACTCTGACAGCTCAAGAGGAGAGGAGAGCCAGTAATCGGCATTCCGCGGAGGGGACACGTACACTGTTCATCAGGGCACTGATGATCAGTGTGCCCTGATGATCAGTGTGGCCTCAGAAGTGCCAGCTGTCAGTGTCCATCAGTGCCTTGTGTCAGTGCTGAACAGTTCCACCTGCCAGTGCCCATCAGTGCCACATCAATGCCACATATCAGTGCCTACCAGTGCACATCAATGCCACATATCAGTGCCCTTCTGAGCTGCCTTTCAGTGTCACCCATCAGTGCCAGTCAGTGCCACCTATCAATACCAATCAGTGCCACCTATCAGTGCTGCCAATCAGTGCCGCCTATCAGTGCCAGTCAGTGCCGCCTATCAGTGCCAGTCAGGGCCACCTAACAGCGCCAGCCAGTGCCACCTAACAGTGCCACTCAGTGCCGCCTATCTGTGCCAGTCAGTACCGCCTATTAGTGCCGCCTATCAGTGCCATATATCAGTGCTGGCTTTCAGTGCCCATCAGGGATGCCTGTCAATGCCCATCAGTGCCTCCTCATCAGTGCCCATCAGTGCCACCTATCAGTGTCCATCAGTGCATCTTATCAGTGGCCATCACTACAGCCTCATTAGCACACATCAGTGAAGGAGAAAAATCACTTATTCACAAAATTTTATAACAAAAACTAAGAAAAAACTTTTTTTTTTTCAAAATTTTCTGTGGTTTTTGGTTTGTTTAAGAAAAAATTAAAAACCCAGAGGTGATTAATAACCACCAAAAGAAAGCTCTATCTGTCACAAAAAAAATGTTAAAAATTACATATGGGTACAGTGTTGCATGACCGCGCAATTGTCATTCAAAGTGTGACAGCGCTGAGAGCTGGACATTGGCCTGGGCAGGAAGGGGGTATAAGTACCCAGTAGGCAAGTGGTTAAATACAAAACAGATTATTTCCAAATACTCACAGAACCCTGACTAGGTCTACTCCTATCTATCAAGGGCACAGGCTACCTGTTAGGTTTCGTATTTACTTCAAAATCCTCATGCACACCCATAAGGCTCTGTACAGCTTGGAATTACATTATCTGTCTGATTTTTATCACCCTACCCTCCTCCTTGTAACATTTGCTCCTCTAATTCTGATTTTCTATGTGTCCCTCAAACCCATCTAATCTCCATGGGGGACAGCTTTTTATTCTAAATTCTTTTAATTCTAAGGAAAACTGTGCTAAGTGTGACGGGTGCGGCGTCAGACCCCCAGCCCTTCTCACCAACTTGTGACCGAAGGACTAGCCAATCTAAAACTAAGCTGTTACGTGCATAACAATGCCACGCTCAGCTGCAGCCTGCACAAAGATTTTCCAGCTCACTGGACCACAATCTATGTGCCGCAGCCTGAGAGCGATTGTTACTGGATCAGGTTAATTACGCAATTAACCCTTCACACTGCCACCACCACCTTTTTGTACAGAGAAGGAGAAAAACTCACCAATCTTAGCAGTAACACTTTGATGTTTGAATAAGCGTCTGTATACACACTGTCACCGCAGGCAGATGTATGCAGGAGTGTAAAACACACAGTAGCGCTCTTCAGAGACAGGATTCCTAATTTGCATTAAAGAGCTTTAGAAACAGTTCAACAATTTTCAGAAAATAGGATTTATTACTAAAAAGGTCAAAATGGTGCAATAAAAATATTTACAGAAAAAGATGTAGCCAATATATATATATATATATATATATATATGTAGATACAGAGAGCAATAACACAACAGAGAGATAAAGGAAGAAGTTTAGAAGGTAGAATACTTGCAGAAGTCCTGGTTTAAGCAGCGTTCAAGTGTCCGAACAAAAGGGTGCCTTTTCTCCCAAAGTTGGTTCCTGATGTTACAAGGGAGAATCTCTTCATCTTACCTCTCTCAGGACTGACAGTCCATATTCTAGTCCTCCAGCAGGGGGCGTCTACCAAAGCCAAGGGCCAATCACCTCATTTGGGGAGGGATTTTGGGCGGAGACCCAGGCTAGAACCAAAATCCCTCCCAAGTTATACCATGGTCAATAACCTTCCATAGGCACATGTAGCATCCTATCCACTGGTAGGATAATATGCAGAATGATATTCTGAATGTCCAGACCCCAGATATGACATATGGTTAAAGAGATATTGCTTTCTGCTCTTGGGTAGACTTAATCTAGAGATGTAAGGTATCAGGTGACTCGCATTAAGCTGACCTATCTGAATATATGCTTTGTTTCATTATATGTATTTCCTGCTAAAAGTTATAAAATTGTATGAAAAAGTGGTTTCAAATGGGATGTAGGTTTAAATGCTATTCTGGAATGCTTTCAAGTCCAGTGACTGACGGTTTATAGCTTTGCGATCAGCTCAGAGAAAGAGTCTGCCAGACACTATGGCACCAGCTAATAGGGTCTACAACCATGAAGTGTATCCAGCTGTGCCCGATGCACTCCTTAGCTCAGCACACACAGAGACCACATGCCATACAACAAAAAGGGAGGGGGGACTGATTTGGAGTGAGAATGACACAAGTTGGAGAATCTTTAGCAACATGGTTGTCCGCGTGCATATATGTGTGCACGATTGCTACACTAAGTACTCAAATGAAACTAATACTCCAACTGCGCTCAGAAAACATAAAAATACAAATGTTGCTAAAATTGTGTTCAAAACCTGTTGTACTGATAAAACAAAAACAACTGCTGCAAATGTCAAAATATTGTGCAAACAATATATTAAGCCCCTGTTCACACCAATGTTTTTGGCAATTTCACGTGTGACTTGCATAGACATCTGTGCATGAAGTTGCACAAATGTCAGGTAAGCCGCATATGAAATTGCACTGACCAGCGGCTTTTAAATCGCGCTACTGCAAGCGAAGTCGTGAGATTTCAAAGCCGCATTCAGTGTGAACCAGGGCTAAGTAACAAATGTGAAAATATTGAAATATGATGTCAGAGGTCATACATATACCATTAACCCCTTATAAAGGTTAATTAATAGTGCCCATTGCAACCACTAATATGTGTATCAAGTTCAACACAATACATTGAAATTAACACCATGTGAAAAACAATGAAAGTGCACAGCTTCTTACCGACAGTAGAGACCCCAAATTATAGGTGGTCTATACAACACTTAGAGGTGTGCAGACTTGCTTTGTAAACCAATCCACTCCTGGATCACAGATTAGGGAGACAGAATGCTGCCCTGTACACTTCCTCTTCATAGATGTTATCCGTCAAAGGAAAACACATAACAATCTTCTATAGCTTAACTCCGTCACATATATTTTATTAAAAAGGTGTAAATCTACTTACAAGGCATCAGATAAGAATTGCATAAAAACTCCATAAACCGTGTTGCTAGTACCAGCTCCAGCAGATGCAGGTGATGTCATAAAAAAGCTCCGCCATGATGTACGTTTCATCCAAAAATATGCTCCCAAGGGGATCCTTCACTTGTTATTCCCTGAAACTCTGGAATTCTCATCCCAAGAACATCAGACATTCGCCTTCTTTAGGTTCCATGCACACTAGTGTTTTTTAAGTTCCTAGAAGCTGGTATTAGCATTTTTCTCTGCTCCTAAAAGGTAAATAGTGCTATCCTATGTGTTCAGGCACAATACTTTAGGCTATTAGTGTTTTTGGAGCTTCAGGGTCTAGGAGCAGAAAAATAATGGTTTTTATAGAGTTTTTTGGAGCGTTTTTCCAACAGAAAATATTTCTAAATGCTACTAAACGCTCCTAAATGCTTCTAAAGGCTACTAAATGCTACTAAAACTCTCCGAACAGCTTTTTCAAACTTTTTTTCTACATGTACTGTAAAAATGCTAATAAAAGGCTAACACTCCTAAACGTTCCTAAAACGCTACTAAAAAACGATATTTCCAGCTTTTTTTATCCAGTGTTTTTTTAACTTAAAAAAGAACAATAGTGTGCATGGAGCCTAAAACTCTTTCAAAATAAGCTGAAAACGTTTTTTTTGTTCTTTAAAGAAGCCTTCACCTAACTGTTCTTTTGTTATTTCTCACTTGTTTTTGTTTCTCTAATAAGGTACCTTTAAAGGCCCTATAAAATCAAGTTTATTGTTATTATATGTTCATGATACATTAGTACTTCGGATTACCAGTCATGGTGGTGGGTGTAACCGAAGAACTAATACAGACCATACATGGAACGAATTCCGAACAAATTTGCTTTCGAAAATCGGACATTTTGTGCGTTTTGTAATCCAATGGTGCCACTATTGCTTTAGAAATTCAGCCAACCAAGCCTTCAGTTTCACCTCATGCGGCTACAGAAAAGAAGTTTTGTGGCCAAGAATGTTCTTTTCTTTCCAGGTCAGCTCATGCTCATTTCTTTTTTTTTTCATTTATATTTCTCGCACTATTCTCCCATCATTAATTCGAAATTCATTTGTTTTTCAAAAAATTCCAACATGCTCGATCACTCCAATTCGATGTTCACATGAAAATCATCCATTTGTGTGACAAACGAATGGTGTGAAATTCAAACCAAAATTCCTAGAAAGGATTTTTGAAAGAAATTTCTTTCGGAATTTGACCCATGTATGGCCAGCTTAAGACTCTGTTTCACTACAAAGATGACCTAAACCATACAAAGACATTGCAGAAGGAAGCATGGTAAGACATTTCTGGTGATAAGATCAACTATAGCGAGTTGACAGGCAATACTGGTGATTAGTCCTTGGCCCTATTTTTTTTGGACATTGCTTCTACTGTATAGATCAGCTAGCTGACATAGTTACATCAGAACAAACATAGAAATTTATTTTTTTTTCCACGACTGCTGAGAAGCCTAGGTGTGTTTTGACCACTAACGTACAACAAAAAACCTTGCCCCCCAAAAAGACACAGAGGCTGATTAAGTTTGAACTAGGGCAAGGCCACAGCTTTATTGAACTTTCCAAAATGAAACATTCAAAGAATCCATATAACAATGCCAGCCACGGTTATACCGTGAGCATCCATAACAAAAATACAGATAGCCTAAGAGGCCTGTCTTCACCATGAGTGCCAGACAGGCATTAAATTGACCCCAGAATTAAACTTGAGGGCATAACCCATAAAGCAATATCAACCGCTGGCAAGGTAAAACCGCCAATAAAGCTGTGAGGAAACTCACAACGGATGGGAGGGTGGTTAACTCGTGTGACGTCTGAATCTCCTCAGAGTAGTGGGACGTGTCTCTGCGTAGCTTTTTTCTATAGTTCAGGCTCCACCAGTCACCTCATGTCTTGGTGGCCAGTCCTATCGGAGCCACTTAACCACCTCCCGCCCGCCATATAGTAATATGA